TAACTTAGTTAAAATATGGGAAGTCTCCTTTTCTGAAGGGAAGGCTGCCCAAATTCTTGCTAATTCAGGAAGTTAGACAAAATTTAACTTTCCAGAGTTAGAAATTTACTTCTGATTTCATATTTGGGTTTATATAAATTCTGAGAGGGCACTTTTCCTACGGGAAACGCTGCCGAAATTCCCCTGTTTTCAGAGGAGTTAGGTTATTTTCGACAGGTGGCGCTAGAAAGTGTTATATGGAGGTGTGCTTTGGAGGTTTAACCCCATATGGTGACGATTTTAGCTTGGGCATTTGACCTGTCTTATGTTACAGGTCCTTTGGTTTGTCTGATTCAAAGCCGATCAGTCGATTTACGACTCAATTCCAGCTTACCTTCCACACCTATCCTAAAAGGCTTTAGCCCAGGTGATTTTCTTTGTTTCGTTATGGTTTCACCCAGACTTTTATTGAATGGTCATTTAACAAAGGGCTTGCATGGCTAAAGTGAGGGGTATGAGTGTTGAAGATGGTTGGGGTTGACTCCGTGTAGTGAATGGGCGGTTGATTGACTCATTGGTGTGATTCGAAGGTATGTGCTATGAATTAGATTCTGGATGAGGTTGCCTGGGATCACATGTATACGTATTGTTGTGATGGACCCCCAATGAGACTGTGAGAAGTGATCATCACATACTTCCCCCTGTTATATATGTGTATATATGGGTATACTTGAGATGAATATTTGCATTGGCTAAAGGGTCCCGTATTAAAAGCCTGCTCAGGGGTTAAGACTAAGAGGCGTAGGGAAAACCCTTCCCTTTCATTTGTTTTACTTCTTAAAAGATTTTCTTAGTCGGACGTTAGTCCTGGGCCGGGATTCGAGGTGCTTGTCGAGGACATCCCAAGCCCTAGGCTCTGCAGGAAAGGGGTTTTCCCTCGCGCAGAACCTATTTGCCTTGCCTATCAAGACGCTCAGACCAAAGGCCGGAGGTCTCGCGGCGGCTGCACGACTATTCCTTCAGTCGTGCAATGTCGTGAAGGATTAGATCCTCACGACACCTCGAGTCTGACACTTGACTGTCATAAGCGGTACCCGGATCCACGAGGGACCGCCTGACTATGGACACTACATAGTACGCCATCGTTGCGACTGCATGCGTACGCCTGCATTGCGGGTTGGTATGAGATAGGCCCTCGACTGTGCGACTTTATACTAAAATCCCGCGCGCGACGTCCTACCGCCCTAGTGTGTAAAAAGTTATGGGATTACAAGGGGACCGACACATATGGGCGAAGGTTTGAAATTGTTATAGGCCGTCAATGACGTGCAAAAAAAGGAGGGTACCCCAGGGCTATGATTTTGTTTACTAAGCGGGGAGCCTTCGTCCTATTCCTTATCATTTGCTCTTTGGAGTTTTTTATAGTTAGACGTTATAGTCCGTGGCAGCCGTCAAAGTCAAACCCCTTGATGTTCGACTGCCACGACAGCTCAAAGCTGTCTACTCAACCCCTCTGCATAGGGTGCAGAAGAGGGTGTGGTCTTCAACCGCGCATGGCGGTTGTCCAGCGTCGAGAGATTAACCCTCAAGGCGCGTGTCAGCCGACACTTGAGTGTCGAACGTGACCCTCGCGATTAACGGGGACCGCGTGAGTTTGGGTACCACATGGCCCGCCATCATTGTGACCGCTTGCGTACGTTTTGCATAACAAGTAGATATGAGTCTGCCCTACGTCCGCAAGAGTTTATATTAAGTCTCGCGCGTGACACTTATCCGATTTCCGTACCAAGAAGTTACGGGGCGGCTATCGAGGGGCTAGGAGCGTTGTCGCGTTGTTTATATTGTGTTGCCTCGTATATGCGTGTGTGGGTTTTATTATTGTGTTCGTAAAGTGGTGTGCGCGTGGTGTGTGGGATGGGTCCTAGTCGACCGACGACGAGCCGCGCTTGGGACTTCAGCCCCCCATGATGTCGGTTTGCATATGGGTCCGATAGAGGCGTATTACCGCGCGTACCCCCTATACTACAGCGAAGGAGAAACGCCCTCGGCTGGTCCACCTCTGCGATTGCAACTGATTAGCTTTCGTACTGTGGACTGGTAGCTCGGCGGGGATACGCCTACCGAAGGGAGGTGACAGCTCCCGTAAGGTGTAGGTAAGTTGTGCCTCGCGTAGGCCCTATCCTGTCGTAGGGGCTCGCGAGAGGTATGGCTGGCGCACTCGGCCGGAGCGGCTTATGGAAGCTCCATGTATATTCGCGACGAAGGATTGTTAACCAACTCCTGCGTGACGCGGCCGGGAGGGTCCCGCGCTGCCCTGGTGCGGTGCCGGACCGATGCGCGTGACAGGTGGCGCCGTTGCCGGGGATAGCGGAAAGCCTACCGCTGTCCCTGGTGGAGCGACATCCGAGTATGAGAAGTGAATGGGAAAAAGGCATAAAGGAATGATGAGAGGGTAAAAAAAAAAAAAAAAAAGGAAATGAGTGACTAGGTATAGGTGAGGAAGTCTTACCTACCTAAGTTAAGGGAAGTATGAGGGACGATCGTGTTAACATTTGGGTAAAGTAAGTACTAAGGGATGGAATAGACCGGTCGAGGTGTAGTGGGGATGTGCTTGTTTTCTCTTGCCAGGGGACTTGAAAAGAAGAGGCTGTCATGATGCCTGAGACTGGCGGCGCATCGGGTGTACCCAAGAAGGGTCTGACGCTCGATGACCTCATCGCGGCCATGGACCGACATGAAAGGAATCCAAGCAATATCCCTAAGGTCGATATCTTCCATTTTTGTGGGGAAAGAGTCTCAGAATGGCTGGAGCGGGTGGAACAAGCCTGGGTCGGGCGGTCGGGCGGTCGGACGTTGTAAAGTTCCAACGCATCCTTCAGTATGTCCTCCACAGCTACCACCCAGAAGTGAAGAAAGTTATAGATGCAGCCCAAGGTAGCTGGGAAAGATTCAAAGAGGGAATGCAAAGGAAGTACCGCCTGGGAGATGGGCTATTGACCACTGCAGACCTTGAGGCAATGAGCAAGGAGGCTTTTACGACCATAGGGGCTTTTGTCCAAGAGTTCAAGAAGAGGGCGCGAAAGGTCCATGGGATTTCGGAGTAGGCATAGTGCGCCATCTTCCTGGGGCTACTCACGGCATCAGAGGCCGTCGAGCTGACGAGACATGGAGGGGGTAGCACCAAGCTCACCTGGGTCACCATTGACAGAGGGGTGGAAGTTGGATGTTTGGACCAGGTGGAGCAACGTCAGGTACGCCTGCAAAGGCAGAAGGGAAAGGAGAGAGATGCGACCGCTTCTGGGACCCCGGGAGTAAAGAGGATTGTTACTGACGTATTGGCGCAGCTGGGGTACGCAACAGAGCCGGTGGTGCAGAGAAGGGTAGTAACGGCTGTCTAGATAAAAGGAAAAGAGCCAGTGGTGGAGGAGGCCGTTGAGGAGGAACTCTGGGAAGAGGAAGAGCCAGTGCCGCTGCACCTAACGAAGGCCCAGCGCAAACTGCGTAATCTGGCGCAGGGCGGGCAGGGATCAGAAAAGGGGCAGGCGCCCCAGACTCAGGCGGCGGCTCCTCCAAATGTAGCAGCTTCATCGTCTAGTGTGAGCCCCTCACAAGGAGGGGCACCCTCCTATGGGCAGTGGCCCTGGCCGGTGATCAATGCCATTGTGCCATGGGCCAGCCCGCCGCCAGTAGCCGGGCAGCAGATGAGTATGCCACCACCCATCTACCCCGCAGCCCAGGCCCAGCCTATGGCCCCGCAGCTGTCACCCGCTCCCAGTTCACAGGGAAGCGTGGTTGGAGGTGGGAACCAGGGGCAGGGCAATCAAGGCAACGGTGGAAGGGGTGGAGGAAGAGGGTGAGGCAGGAATGGCGGCGGACGAGGAGGACAACGGAATGGTCAAGGCCGGGGAAGCCAAGGCCAAGGGTATCAAGGCCAAGGGAGCCAAGGCCAGGGGTATCAAGGAAGTCAGGGATACGGAAGGCCCCGTTTTGATTGGAGGTCGGCCATCTGCCATCATTGTGACCAGCAGGGCCACACTATAAGGTTCTGTAACATAAGGCGGGAGGACAAGAAAAGCGGACTGATTTCCTCCACTATGGACAGGAACATCTATGACCAATTTGGGGAGTTCATCGACAGAAGGCTCGGGGGAGTGAGGACAGAAGCCCAGCGAAGGGCGGCAGCCGGGCCGCTACCTCCTGCCACATTCAGACTATGGCAGGAGAAGAAAGGACCGTCGGTGGGGATAGAGGGATTCAAATTATGGCAGGAAAAGGAAGAACCACTGGTTGGGGTAGAGGAAGTGGGGAGCGACGAGGAAGTAACTCAAAAGCCGCGAGGGGGAAGCGAGGGGGAAGAGCATATAGTCACCGAATCGGACGACGAGGATGAGGAAAGAAGGATGGAGCCATCGTCCGTCTTATTGGGGAAGATGGAGGAATTACTGGACAAGGCGGGAAGGTACCAACAGAAGTTGGTGGCCCTCTGCGAGGAAGTGAGGGAATGGAAGTCTAGTATCCCCAAGGTGTTCCTATATGACTCCGGCCCGGAATCAGCGCCTGGGCGACCCGGAGTAAACGTGGTAGGGTCAAGCCCACAACCGGGGGTGATGGGGAGACCCCTTACCCCGCAGGCCCGGCTGGCACAGGCGGCGCGAACAAGAAATCAAGCCAAGGCAAGTGCCAGCCAAGAACCTCCTAGGAGGKAGCCCGAACCAGGRAGGAGGAAAGAGGYCGTGGAAGTGRAGGATGACGAYGAKGAGGAGGAAGAAGATGAGAGGCTGCGCCGAGAAGAGGATCAGAGGGCGGAGCAGCGGGCAAGGAAAAAGGGGACCAGGGGAGAGGCCGAGCCGGTCATACGTGACGGACCACCTAAAAAGAAGAAATACGAGGTTCGGTTAGAAGAGGGGTTTGACGTAGAGAAAGTGATTGACCGGCTGCTGGAAGGGCATAATGACCTCATGACCCTGAAGGAAATCCTAGCATCGGCCCCGCGACTCCGCGATGAACTAAAAAGGAGATTGTCGCGGCGCTTGGTGCCCAACGTCCATCTAGGTACGATCCTGCCCAAGGAGGCAGAGTGAGCGGAATCGGGCACAAAAATGGATTGGAAGTGCGTGGTCTGCGGCACGGTGGATTTGGTGGTGAAGGGTTCCAAGTGCGCAGCCATGGTGGACACGGGAGCTGAAAAGAACATCATCCGGGAGGCCGATGCAATCAAGTTTGGACTGGATATAGACCGATCTGATTGCGGGATTCTGCATGGGGCCAGCTGCAAGGCCGTGTTTTGTGGGACAGTCTCGAACGTGCTCATCGAGGTTGAAAAGGTGAAAGCCAGGGCATGCTTCTTTATAATGTCGGACGTGGACCACGGGATCCTACTGAGAAGATCATTTTTGAGTAGGACAGAGACCGTGATGTTTAACAAGCATGATGGGACTCTAATCCTCCTTCTATGTGACCCTGCCTGCGGGAATTACGAGATAATTACCTGCAAAAATACAGGACCGAGGAGTATAAGGAGCCGGCCCAACCCAGGATCTTTCACGATCGAAGAATCGGAGGGCGAGCATTGAAGACTTCGGGCAGAGCTGGAAGTAGAAGAAGAGGTGAAAGCATTTTTCCTCAGTTTATCGCACGTCGAAAAAGCCATGGATTTGGTGGCCGCACATGAGGTGGCGGATCCGGATGCCATCCAGGCCTTGAGGGAGCAAGTTCTGGAATGCCCCGAGGCTGGGAGATTAGAGCTGGTATATCGTCTTCCGGATGGAAGGAGGAACCCTGCATCGGCGCAAGCACAGTCTGTGAGTCGGCCTTTTTTAGGGGACGGCTCAAGCAGGGTTCCCAAAGGCAGTACAAGACGGTAGACAAAAAGTGTCGCCCAGTGCCCGTCCTCGTTACTGAAGACGAGGAAGCATACTATAAGAGGGAGCGAGGGTTGATACGGCGAAATTCGTATCAACGAAGAGAATGAGGGGGAGTTCAACGAGGGTTCAATGAGGGAGAGTGCGCTAGTAGGGCCATGTCGTATCAACGAAGGGAATGAGGGGGAGTTGATTATAGGGGAACCAGATTTCCTGCTGCCTCAGGAGCGGACATTGATGGTGGAGTTGATGAAGAGGAGGCATCGCGCCTATGCGTTTAGTGACGAGGAGCGTGGAAGGCTGGATGTGGACAAGATACCTATGATCCGCATCCACACCGTGCCACACGAGCCTTGGAACATGAGAGGGGTGCGATATCCTAATCCTAACGAGGAAAAGAAGGTGGTGGATTACCTCGACGGCAAGATACGTACGCACGTCGCCGACTATTCGAGCGGACCGTATGCATCCCCGTGGTTCTGCTTCATCAAGCCCAACGGGACGCTGCGGTGGGTGCAAGATTTGCAGAGGCTGAATGCGGTGACCGTGCGGGATGCTGGAGGATTGCCCAATGCAGACGCGCTGTCGGAATCCTGTGCTGGAAGGCCTATAATTTCGCTTATAGACCTTTACTCAGGATATGATCAGTTTTCGGTTTACCCGCCAGACAAGCCGGTGACGGCTATGCACACGCCGCGAGGGTTAATCCACATGAATGTGGCCCCACAAGGGTGGACCAACGCGGTAGCAATGGTCCAACGGGCCATGATTCGTGTTATGCAGTCAGTCAGCCCTCATATCACACAACCATATATCGATGATTTGACAGTGAAAGGGCCGACAGTGAAGGAGAACGACGAAATCTCGCCAGGGATAAGACGCTTTGTTTGGAAGCACATCCAGGACCTTGAAAAGGTCCTGAGCCTGCTCGAGGAGCATAACCTTACGGCAAGCGGGGCCAAATCCAGACACTGCATGAGGGAAGCAACTATCTTAGGGTTCGTCTGCAGCGAGAAGGGCCGGAGGCCGGATGTGAAGAAGACGGACAAGATTACTGAGTGGCCAGTTCCGTTCTACTCAATAATTGATGTCAGAAGCTTTCTTGGTACGTGTGGATTTTGGAGGGCCTTCGTCAATAATTTTGCCGCTAAGACTGAACACCTGAGGAAGTTAGTCCGTCAGGATCAGGAATGGGTTTGGGGTGAAAAGCAGGAAGAAGTGGTGGCTAGAATGAAGGAGGAGTTTCGAGAGGGAGGGTTGGTGTTAGGAGCGCCAGATTATAATGCTACGGAGACTTGACCCTTCATTGTCGAAACGGACGCGGGGCCGACTGCCTTAGGGGGAGTTCTGATTCAGGCAGACGTAGAAGGAAAGGAAAGGCCCTTGCGATTTGAGAGTCGGACTCTATGTACGACGGAGAGGAACTACTCTCAGTTCAAGAGGGAGACCCTTGCCATCCTCCATTGTCTGCGAATCTTTCGAAACTATATCTTCGGCAGGAGGTTTATTTTGAGAGTGGATCCGACCGCCCTGGCCCATTCTCTAAGGAATTACGTTCCATCGGATCCGACGGTTACCAGATGGCTGACGTACATCTGGATGTTCAACTTCGACTTCGAGTTGGAACGTATTCCTGGTAGCAAGAACCGGGCGGACGGGCTGAGTCGTATCAACTGGGATAACCAGGAAGGAGAGGCGGTGGAGAAT